AAAGAAGCGAAGTTGCAGAAATTTATTAAGTGTATATAAACGAGCAAATAACAAATCACAAAAGGAAAACAAGAAGAATAGCTCTTGAATGTTTAATAAATAGAATATCGCCAATATTCGTGGGAATTCGACCCATATTTACTAGAAGACGTGCTCTCTTCCAACCGGTGCGCTCCATTGTGTCTACTGCTGCATTTGCTCAGGTGCCGAAGGCTAAAAGTTCGAAAATTATTGGGAAATACCCAGTTTTGTTCAAGAAATTTCGTATTTCAGAAAAACAAGAAAATAATAAGATGTAAAACATCTTTTCTGGAGATGAACTTTTATCTGCTTATATCTTCTTACCTCTGCTGGCTGTCCAATAGTGCGTGGAGTGTTGCTGATCTTAGCTAAATGTGGAGCCACTTCCGAGTCATCCATTATTTTAAATGGTTGTCCTTTTCCAACAATTGCTATGGAGGTGTTCTAAATGAAGACCTTTGAGCACTTAAAGTCAAAACAACTTCATTTCCACAATAAGTGTCCATTTACGATCAGAAGAAATATGTGAAGAAAGATTATATTAGATTAAGAACTAAAAATATCAAACAATACAAAAAATGCCAACCTGGCTGGTCAGATTTTCTTCGGCCGGCAATGTGTCTCTAAGGGCAAGAAGAGCATGCTCGATCAAATCATCAGCACTAGCTATAAAAAAAGGGAATCCATTTATTAGGGAAAGGCATCTGACGGCAAAGAAAAAAATTAACTAAAAAGAAACAATTTTACCTGTTCTGAACTTATTGAGATGCCTTTCCAAATAAGTACGAGCTGATTGAGATCTAGCACCAATCGATGAGGCAAACATTTCCACAACTTCGGCAGACGGGTCTGATTGCACAATATGAGTGCCGTCTTTCTAAACAAAAAGAAGTAAAAAAAAAGAAAGAAATCTAAAAAGAAGTTATACCAACGTCATATCCAGCAATCAGCAATCCTACTCCAAATGGACGTCTTCCATAGTATTGAGTGTTGGCTTGCAGCTCTAGAGAGCATGTTATGAACTCTATTTTACTACTTTTCATTGCTACACTTACTCAATTGCACGCTATCAGATAGGGATGAGATCGGAACAGGCTGCTTGTAATCCCATCGCCAACTTGAGCATTCAGTTTGAAGAAACCTAAAAAAAAAGAATCTGAGATCAATTCGTAAGATTAAATGTGATATACCTGGCGAGGATTCTTCCGTCTGATAGCAAGCCAGCGATTGAAACACCTGCATGAGTATCGATTTCATAAATTTTCTTCTGATGAGAACACAACTCATTCTGGGCACGCTGGAAGGGAATACAAAT